AGCAATCTACTGGAATACAGAGGATGGCGTGGAAGAGGTTGGATTGGGTGTACGCAGCCCTCTTACGTGTCAACCTTGCGTGCACCCCATCAACGTCTCCCGTTTCCGAAATCCGCATTTATTTCTTTGCGTATCCAGGTTGTTGCCTCTCACGTCTTATAGTGATGCGGGGGCACGGGTGGCCCAGTCGTCTAAGGCGCCGCGATTCGCTGTGCAGAGTTGCGTCCCTTGGACACGCCAGAAACCTATGATTGTGGATTGGAATCCCGGTTCGCCCCGATTATGTTTCTAGGTTTGTCAGCACCATACCCGTGCTTGTGGGTTTCACCGAAGTGGTAAACGTCTTAGACCTGCATCTCTTCGGGCTTTCCTCCCACATTAAGCTGACACGCCGTGATATAACTGAAATACTGTTAAAAGCGGCGTTAAACCCAACTCACTCACTCACTCACTCATAGTGATTCACGGTGACTTTCACATGAAAGCGCGTAACATGATTGCCTCAGAAAATGTATTTCAATCAATCATATATATCAATATTTGAGTTTTGATCTGTTTTCATGTAGTACTTGTCTTTATTGCAGACTGGAATTCGCAGCTGTGGGATGGGGCTCTAACGGTTCCATAACCAGGAAACCCAGTTCATATTATCATACATTATAAGTCTTTGTTACATACACATATGGTGTTCACGCTATATAAATATTACCGTGTGTGTATGCGTTATATTCATAATGTCAATAAAATCATTGATAAATAGTTATGCTTATGTGATTTGTTTCTTGAGATGTGGAGATTGGTTTCCTTTTTACCCATAAGGTCTACATACACAAACTACATTCTGAATATTTTTGGTTTGGTTTGGTTTGTTTTTTAACGCCGCGCTCAGCAATATTCCAGCTTTATGACGGCGGTCTGTAAATAATCGAGTATGGATCAAACCATCCAGTGATTGATATCATGAGCATCAATCCACACAATTGGGATACGATGACATGCATCTACATGTACCAAGTCAGCGAGCCTGACCACCCGACCTTGTTAGTCGCCTCTTACAACAAGCATAGTCGCCTTTTACGGCAAGCATGGGTTGCTGAGGACCTATTCTACCCAGGATCTTCACGGGTCACATTCTGAATATGCAATGGAAAGTTCTTTTAGGTTCGAAAGCCTGTGTTGCCACTCTGGGAACGTGTTTTCTTTTTGAAATCAAATTTCCCGTTATTTCAATTATTTGTGTATTTTTTTAAAATTTTGATTTGTTTTCTCGTTTCTTGGATTATATTTTTTTGGAATTTCGATTATTTTCGCGTAACGTTGAGTTTTTTCTCGATAAACAATTGAAGTAACGAAAACATAATTGAAAACAACGCAAAAAGCTTGTAATTCGGAGTTTTAAAAATAAACTATGAATAATGAAAAAAATCGAAATTGAGAGTTTTTAATATAAACTTGGTAGAAATTTCGAAGTAACGAGAAAAAAATGCAAATGTTGAGAAAATGCTGTAAATAGCGAGAAAATATTCGAAGTAAAGAGAAAAAACTCGAAATTGTAAGGACGAGATATTTCGATTTAAATATAAATAAATTATACTTCCAAAGTGGCACCATTATGCTTTCGTAATCAGGCGTAGCTGCATCCAGAGATCGTGGGTTCCATCCCAGATTCCACTTGATCATGTTTCATAGTTTGTCAACACTTTCTGTTTAAGGGTTTCATCAAAAAGGTGTCACAGGCATCACACACCTTACTCATTCTAACTAGTTCTACTGCTGTTGCTACTACTACTGATGCTGTTACTACTACTGCTGCTACTGCTACTGCTACTGCTACTATTTCTACTTCTACTTCTGCTACTGCTTCTACTACAACTACTACTACTACTACTACTACTACTACTACGACTACTACTACTACTACTATTTTTACTGCTGCTACTACTACTACTACTGCTGCGACTTCTACTACTACTGCTACTACTGTTGTTACTGCTGCTACTTCTACTACTACTGCTGCGAGTACTACTGTAACTGCTGCTACTACAACTACTACTACTGCGACTTCTACTTCTACTGCTACTACTGTTATACTGCTTCTACTACTACTACTACTACTTCTGCGACTTCTACTACTACTGTACTGCTGCTGCTACTACTTCTACTACTACTGCTGCTGCTACTGCTACTACTTCAACTTCTGCTACTGGGGCGCCGTGATATTGCTAGAATATTGCTAACACCATACTCACTCACTCGCTACTTCTGGTACAGCTTCTACTACTACGACTACTACTACTGCTGCTACTAATGCTACAGCTGCTACTTCTACTTCTACTGCTACTACTACTACTACTTCTTCTACTGCTGCTACTGCTGCTACTTCTACTACAACTGCTACTACTGTTACTGCTACTACTATTACTGCTGCCATATCTACCAATATTGCTACTATTGCTGCTGCTACTACTACTACTGCTACTGCTACCTCTGCTACTACTGTTACTGCTGCTGCTCTACTATTTCATCTGCGACTTCTACTACTACTACTACTGCTGCTGCTGCTGCTACTACTACAGCTACTACTACTACTGCTACTTCTACTACTGCTCTCACTATTACTGCTACTGCTACTGCCTCTACTTCTGCTGCTGCTATTGCTACTACCTATACTTCTACCGCTACTACTACTGCTACTTCTACTGCTGCTACTACTACTACTACTTCTACTGCTGCAAATACTACCAGTATTGCTGCGACTTCTACTGCTACTTCTACTACTGCTTCTTCTACTACTACTCCTGCTGCTGGTACTGCTACTGCTGCTACTTCTACTACTACTACTGCTACCTCTACTTCTACTGCTACTACTATTACTGCTGCCACTTCTACCATTACTGCTACTTTTGCTACTGCTGATGCTACTACTACTACTTCTACTGCTGCTACTACTACTGCTATTATCACTACTACTGCTACTACTGCTACTACTATTACTGCTGCTGGTACTGCTACTGCTGCTACTTCTACTACTACTACTGCTACCTCTACTACTACTGCTACTACTCTTACTGCTGCCACTTCTACCATTACTGCTACTTTTGCTACTGCTGCTGCTACTACTACTACTACTACTTCTACTGCTGCTACTACTACTGCTATTATCACTACTACTGCTACTACTGCTACTACTATTACTGCTGCTGGTACTGCTACTGCTGCTACTTCTACTACTACTACTGCTACCTCTACTACTACTGCTACTACTATTACTGCTGCTGGTACTGCTACTGCTGCTACTTCTACCAATACTGCTACTATTGCTACCTCTGCTACTACTACTTGTACTACTGCTGCTACCTCTACTACTACTGCTACTACTATTGCTGCTCGTACTGCTACTGCTGCTACTGCTACTACTACTGCTGCTCGTACTACTACTGCTACTACTATGACTGCTGCTGGTACTGCCACTGCTGCTACTATTGCTACTGCTGCTACTACTATTACTGATATGGCTGAAATACTGCCAATGTGACGTTAGATATAAACTCACTCACTACTACTATTACTGCTGTTACTACTACTACTACTACTACTACTACTGCTGCTACTACTACTACTGCGACTTCTACTACTACTGCTACTACTATGACTGCTGCTGGTACTGCCACTGCTGCTACTATTGCTACTGCTGCTACTACTTTTTCTGATGTGGCTGAAATACTGCCAATGTGACGTTAGATATAAACTCACTCACTACTACTATTACTGCTGTTTCTACTACTACTACTACTACTACTACTGCTGCTACTACTACTACTGCGACTTCTACTACTACTGCTACTACTATGACTGCTGCTGGTACTGCCACTGCTGCTACTATTGCTACTGCTGCTACTACTATTACTGATATGGCTGAAATACTGCCAATGTGACGTTAGATATAAACTCACTCACTACTACTATTACTGCTGTTACTACTACTACTACTACTACTACTGCTGCTACTACTACTACTGCGACTTCTACTACTACTGCTACTACTATGACTGCTGCTGGTACTGCTACTGCTGCCAATACTTCTGCTGTTGCTAGTACGGCTACTACTGCTGCTACTTATTCTACTGAAGAGCATATGACAGATTTAAGAAAATAATCTTCAACAAATCGAAAACGGGATGTTACCGTCTCATTCTCCTGGACTTGCACATAAATTTGAGCATTCGATTACTTTAAAATCAAGCCTGTATAGTGCGTTCGGTGTAAAAAAAATCCCCATAATAATTAGTGTCGATATCGACGGAATGACTAATCAATGCGAACAAAAAGGGAATAAGTCACCAAATATTTTCAGAAAAACCACTTTACCAGTGTAATTCAGATACCATGAAAGATTAAGGTAAAACACATCCTTCTTTCTGAAAGTACCCGTACATATGTATCTCAAAATACATAGTCTTGGTTCTTAATATTGACTATCATATCAAGTCTTAATGTAATATGTCAAGAACTTAAATCTGTGACACAGTTTTTCCCTGATAGGATTGTGGAAATATGAAGCATTTTAACACAAGTTGACATGGCCTAGAGATTAATGTCCACAATTAAACAAGTAGGACAGCGATTATTTGATAAAAAAATTACACGAAATGCTGCCTTAGATTAGCAAAATACTACATTGTAATTGCTAAGTGAACTTTGTTAAACTTTCAAAATCTGTTACGTTTGCAGAGAAGGAAATTGTTGATCTTGAAGAAGTGATAAATGAATATTCTATATATAACGTTGTTTTATGTTATTATTTCTATGAAAACCTATCCACGTCCAGCTATCTTACTGATCATAATTATTCAACAATAATAATAATGCTCAGATATATTTGTGCATAAAAGGGTCTTATCATTACAATACCTGCTGATTTCGAAATCGGGATAGAACCTACAACCTCAGATCGTTGTCACTTATTTACGTTAGCGGGTCACCCGTCAGTTACCTCCCTTGAGCTATACCTGGCCTCACCGCAACAAAAATGTTACACATTGCATCTGACGCTTGACGGTTGCTCCAAAAGACTGTGTTCGTACCTCAACTGTAACTAGGCACCCGGAACGTCAGGTGGGAAGAGGTAAAGGTGGATTTAAAAAAAATATGATTCCTGGTGTTGAATCATTGTTCAGTGTGCTTGGATTGATTATAGATTACATGTACACCAGGAAGTAGATATCAACATTCTGTTTAGATAGTATACAGCCACATATTGCAGTTCACATGTGGAGTGGACGCGATGCAGCTCGTATGAGAGTCTAGATAGGATACACATACCTATTCTGAAGATAATATATGTATCGACAAACAACTAATATAAGTATTTCATGCAGAAATATTCAGAATAGGCAAACCCCCTTGGGGGGCGAAATACGCCCATGGCAACCAGTGAGTGTATATCCCATATAGGACTTCAGCATGGAAAGGTCGTGATTGCATTAAATATTCAGACTATTTGATTCTATCAAGGTGTTCATTGGTGATTTCGTTCGTTTTTTAGTCCGTTTCTCCCAATTTGGATATTTCGAATTTGCACATTGCATTACTAGAAAGGGGAGGTAATTCCGCAAGACTTTATGTGATGCTGAAACACTGGCCATAGACACGTGAAGGAAAAGTGAGAAACGTGTAACGCTAACATGTTGGTTGTGGCTGGGGGATTATAATAATATCAATTAATACAATAATGGTATTTATGTCTGTTCATAATTGACAATTATGTACATCATGAAGTATAAATATTGTCTTAACAGAGGCAGAGATTACTTAACCTTGGCGATGTGGCAGGCCAAGAAAGTGCAAGAATTCCTCACCTGTGTGATCTGCCAGGAAATTTACACAGACCCGTGTACACTGAGGTGTGACCACACATTCTGTAGGAAATGTGTCACTGCATACATCCAAACTAGACCAGATGCTGTGCAGTCCAAGACGATCCCCTGTGCCTTCTGTCGACAAGATACCAAGGTGCCCAACCCCAGCAGACCAGTGGAGGAGTGGGCGGGGCAGATCAAACCCAGCATCATTATACAGGGGCTGGTGGACACACAAAGTGAAGCTATGGAAGCAGGTATGATTTGTTTGAAGAGCATTGGAGTGGTCTCTGTAAAAGTTAGTATTCAACGTAAATTTGCATATAATCATTTTAATATTCTTAAAACGTTAGTAAATGGCGACTATGCTTGTCGTAAAAGGCGACTAACGGGATCGGGGGGTCAGGCTCGCTCACTTCGTTGATTTGCGTGGATCGATGTTCATGATGTTAATCACTGGATTGTCTGGTCCAGACTCGATTATTTACAGACCGCCGTCATAAAGCTGTAATATTGCTGAGTGCGGCGTGAAACAACAAACAAAACCAAAATCTTTAAACGTTAAACACCAACGTCTATATTTCAGATACAATGGACAATCACTGCTCAATGTGTATAGCTATAGGGAAGACAACTCCTCGAGCTTGGTGGTGTCATGAATGTGAAGTTTCCCTATGCAAAACATGTTTAAAGATGCATCATGCAAGTCCGATCTCACGTGACCACGAAGTGGCTGATCTATCTGAAGGGGGCCCGGTAAAGAAAACCCGCAAGGTTATGTGCAAGGAACATAAAAAAGAAGCCGTCAGTCTTGTGTGTAGAGATTGTCACAAAGCTGTATGTCCGTCATGTTGTGTTGTTTACCACAGGAGATGTGACTCTGTGGTTACAATACACTCTATGATAACAACAATTAAATATCACTTGACAAAGAGAAGAAATATGATGGCGAATAAGATAAAAGGAAAACAAAGAATGGTTCAGAAAACCCAAGAAAGGATTATCAGAATTAAGGAAAAAAGTAAACAAGCAGAAATGGATGTCCAAAATGACATTGCAAGCGCCATTAAAAAAATCAAACAGAAAGGTGAACGGCTGATAAATGAAATCAAAGAAATTACAGAAAATGAATCTAAACAGTTGCAAGCTGGTGTGAAGCATGAAGAGATTGAGGTGCAGATGTACAGACAACATTGTGAGTTCATTGAGCAGACCTTGGTATCGGACTGTGAGATGGACCTGTATGACGCGTATGAGGCTTGGGAGACGAGGGAAATGATGGACAAAGCCTCAGCAAGCAAACGAAGAATAGATGACATCAGGTTTAATTCAGACGCTGATGAAGTCCAGCACATCCTTGATGACCTACGGCTGGGGAAAATTGACGTCACATACCTGGATCAGGGAAGTTGTTTGCCGACTCGTGTGGTGGTTGACACGATAGACGGGAAGATGGAGAGTGACGAGAAGGAGCCTTCCCTTCGTGATGTCACAGTCCTGGTTGTCGATGGCATGGAGACAGTTGTAGTCACTGACTTTCAGAACATGTGTGTAAAATCATTCTACACCAAACACAACAGGTCGTGTCACAGAAAACTTCCCCTGAGAAGCGATCCATTTGGTATAACTCAGTGGAAGGAGAACAAGGTGATGGTCGCTATGGCTAACTCTTGTCAAATTCTAACGCTGGAAGTGACACCTGACCTGAAACTGCTCTCAGCCGTCTCAACCAGCAAGGGGTATTTCAGCATCGCTGTTCTGGGTCCTTCAACTCTAGCAGCAGGTGGTCACGAACGTGTTGATATCTTGGATATTTCTGGACACGTGTTGAAGTCAGTCACTGAACGCAACAACAAGAGACTGTTTACCTACCCTTTCCACATGTGCGTCAACACCAAGGGCAACATACTCGTGTCTGACTGGAAGGAGAAGTCTGTGACATGTGTTACGTCAGAGGGTGATGTGGTATGGAGCTACGCCCCTACCGGACACAGAGCTCTCATTTACCCTCGTGGTATCACAACTACAAGTACCGGCGATATCCTGCTTGCTGATAATTTCTCCGACAAAGTCATAGAACTGAACGAGTCTTGGGAGTTTGTCAGATATATCCTCCAGTCAAAAGATGGTAAAGCTGTTATTTCTCCAAGGGGTTTGTATGTAGATAACAGAAACTCACTGTATGTGTGTGGAGGCAGGAAGACAATAGAAATAATCTTCACATGAAATTGTATCACAATTGATATTTGTGTCAAATGGACCAAATGAATCTATATTGACTCATGTTATGAGAGCGGACTTATCTTGTGAAAAGAAGATAACAATCACGAGGATACTTATGATCGATAAATACAGTCAAAGGACACATCATAGAGTATATATCTTGTTAAAAAGGCAATAAAATAGATGATAAGAAATTATGGTCTTCGGCATCGATTCCTTCGTGGTGATGTTAGAATATTTTTAACCTGTATTATCGTTATTGTTTTTCAATCGTTGAAAGACTCAGAGGACATGCAATAAAAGTTCACTTCAACAGAGGCTTGGGCTTGTTCAATTTCTGTGGATGAAAGGTGTCACCGGGTCGTTACCGGACCTCTCTGCTCCCCGGCTTTATTTCAGACACCGCTCGGCAAAGTCCGGCGATCGTCATTGATCAGTGTCATGACATTCTGTGTTAGGGAATTTCTGTGTTTCTTTCTCTTGTGTTTTATTGGCACACTCATATTTACTGACTTGATGTAAGTATCTCTTATATGTTCGCTACCTTATTCTTGTATTGAAAATGTTTTTGTGACTATGATTTGCAAACATGAGGGGAATTTATATGTACATTCAGATATTTTTCATGTATTTATAATCATTTTTGCCTCATCAATAACTGTACATATTTTGTTGTAAATCTTTAATGATACCATTGGAAAGCTTATGTTCAGCGTTTTATTTTGACATTAACATCTTCAGTACGGATATAGTAGTCAGTTTGCTATTTGTATTTTCACCCGTGTTTAGAAACACACGTTGTCTGAGCGCCCAGTCTGTTGTATTCGACGGCTGTCCAGGAGATATGCTCTCTCTGAGGTCCGCGAGCAGTATATTTATACTTCTGTCAGGATCTTGGGTCTTTACCCTCCAGGGTTCGTTAAGCAGTTTGTACGGGTCAGTGTGCTACGGGGTGGTCACGTTCGAAACTCAGGTTTTGTAAGTAAGTGGTTTTGGGACACCTTCGAATTTCTTCTGACATACCCTGATTGTATTGACCTAAACGTAGTAGCTAGGGTTTGTAATATTCTGTTTTCTAGTAATCCCTGGATAACCAACCTTCCCATGATCTCGACTTAGTAACTAGTGTATCCAATACTCTGTTTTTCTAGTAATCCGCATCTTCCCGAGGCAAGAGAGTTAACTGACTTTAAAAGTCCAGTTCCCACCCTTGCCGAACTAGGCTTGAATTCCTGGGCTCGCTCGAAGCGCCACCAGTGGCTATTACGAGTTATGTCCTTTCTATGTCTCTCCTATTGACCAATCAGATTCAACCTCTCGTATCAGCGCCCAGTCAAGACGATTTGATTGATAATCAAGATCTATATTGTGATAAAACGAGTCTTACATTGCGAAGTGCATCAAATCACGTGAGCACCTTGATTAAAAACTTGAAAAGATTTGGAAAATATCTGTAGACAACGAGTTGGCGGTGCACATGCTGTGCAAATCCTGCATAAAATTTGCATGACAGTTTACGAACCGGATTTCGATTTCAGTACGCGATTGTGATTGGACTACGCATAGACTCCTCAGTCCAGCCAAAATATAACACCATAATACCAGCCTAGTTCGGCAAGGTGAGAACTGGAGTTTTAGTCAGTTAACTCTCTTGCCTCGGGAAGATGCTTAAACAAGTGCAGACAACTCTCGTTCTAGTTGAAAACTATTCAGGAACGCCCAACTCCCTGCTGCTGAGAGCTGTTCTGACCTGCCCACGACATCAGTTGGTATATTTTTCTAGATGTTCAACGATCTGCTGCCACTGGCAAATACTACAAATGAACTTACAGTTTCTAGTGCCACCAAAATTATTTACACAGCATTGTTGACAATGGTAACATTGTAGTGCTTAAGAGCATTTATTTCTTGTGGTCCTTGGTTTCATGCTAATAATAGTTCTCACGATGCCTTGTAGTTTAAGAAACTATCCAATCTCATTAAAATCAGACCTTAGTTCTCGCTATCGCTAAACAAAGATCTGAGGACATCCCATTACGGGTCACGTCAGACCGACCTTGCGCGAATTTTGACCGACCAATGGAAGGACTGACAAGAAGTCGACATTAGCCAATCAGAAGGCAGCTTTCTCGTGCTTTACGGCACTAAATTCAAATGGCGACTACGCTGCGAAACATATTTTGACAAATTCTCGATTAAAAATTTGAAACCTGAACAAAAGAACATTCTGGAATGGCAAATATATGGTCTAGATTGTATGTATTCATTCGTTAAACCCGTAACTATCGTTCGGAATACTCCGTGTTAAAGTTTTCAAGGTTGCATGGTTAGAAATAACATTCCGATTGTCACTTTCATGATCTGGTAAGCGACGCTCTGATTGGTCGGATGAACGGTCGTTCTGACGTGACCCCTAATGGGATGTCCTCAGATCTTTGTTTAGAGATAGCGAGAACTAAAATCTGTTTTTAATGAGATTGAGAAACTATCGCATTCAGTGTTTCGTGAGCACGTCAATTACAAGTCTATACCTATTGCCATGCACACACTGTTTGGGCCACGGTTGGCCTCGTTAACTATTGACTCAACGATTTAGTGTGCAGAGTTGTCCCTTGGGCACGACAGAAACCTATGATCGCTGGTTCGAATCCAAGATTCATCTGGATTTTGTTTCTAGGTTTGTCAGCATTCAACACCTGTGCTCATGGCTTTAAACTTCAAGATCTATACTCCTTTCGATGTTTCCTCCCCCATGAAGTTGACATAATATTAAATGGTGAGGTGAGGTGAAATGGGGTTTAACGTCGTTCAAAGATTATTGCACTTATATAGCGACGTGTATGCACGTGTGTGTGTGTGTGTGTGTGAGTGTGTGTGTGGCTGCTTGTACTAATCCGGACTGATGCCGATTTATAGTGCTAGCTCACTGAGATACCATGCCGCGCGCAGTTTAACATGAATACCCCACTCAGCCACAGTATACTGGCTCCCAGCCGACCAGTCCTTGTTTTAGTCCCTTAATGCCGAGCGCGAGATAGGGTAACAACAAGTACCATCTTTTAACGTCTTTTGGTATGACGCGGCCTGGGATCGAACCCCGACCCTTCCGCTCCCAGGGCGGACGCTCTACCTCTAGACCAGTGTACCCATGTCAGGAATCGAACCCGGGTCTTCGGCGTGACGAGCGAACGCTTTAACCACTAGGCTACCCGAACGCCCCAGTACGAGGAAGAACTGGTGCAATAGTGCTGTCTTTGACAAATATGCACCATTCTGTAATACCTGCTGTGCCATCGGCTGATGTATTTCCTCACTTGACAGTGATAGCTATCAGATATATTGATGCTAATTAGAACATGTTACACCGTGAGTACATGTTATGTCTCGATCACTGGGTTGTTACAATCCAGACTATTATGTAAAAGCCTCGTGATACAGCTGGAACATTGCTGTGCGCTATTCAGAAGTGCATGACCCCCAAAGTGACATTCACTTTTGACACAAACCGGAATAATGCTTACATTTAACGTATGAATATTTAGTCTTCGTAAAATTCTTTGAATTCGCATACAAAGAATATCCCCGACTCCCGAAGAAACAGCTGCTGACATAGTCAGTGCTTTCCGGAACCTCAATCTTTGCAGTTATCAGAAAAAAGGACTCAGAAAGCAACCAAAGGGATCATTCCATATATATACTACTCAAAAGAAGTTAAGCATCACCCGATTCTTTCATATTGGTAATGTTAATCTGTCATGGCATGAGAGATTAACTTTTGTAATATGAAAGAATCAGGTGATCCTTAACTTCTTTTGAGTTATTGTAGTATACATACAAAGATAACACAAATATTGTGATTGTCTATATTTATCTACATGCAATACAAAGATAAACAATATTCAAGTATGAAGACACAATGCCTTTCAGGAAGTGGTCAAATGTAACAAATGTTATATATGGGATAAAACTCTCTGAGTAAAGTACAGATTGTCATTATGTTATCCTCTCGCATACAACGCGAGCTAGTCCACCCCCGAGCTTGTTGCCTCTATTACAGCATCGATGACTTTCATGGCGTCTTTCTCCAAGTCATCGATCATCTTCATCATCATATAGTAGGCAGTGACGAAATTGGCTGTCCCGCCAACAAGAGCACCTAGATATGGTACAAAACGTGTCAGTTCTATGGGAACACGCTTGAGTGACTCCTCTGCTGCCTCAGACTTGATCATGTTCATCAAGAATGTTTTGACAGACTGACGGGAAGTCATGATGGCGGAACCGTCTTTCAGGGCATCTTTGAAATAGTCCAGCGGTTTATTAGTCCCGGCAGAGAGTTCCTGTAATGATTCGTCATTAAGTCCATACTGCTTCAAGTAGAAAGTCACCTCTGCCGCCAGAAGAGCAATATCTAGTGACACACCGATGGCGCCCCCTAACAGAGGAATTGGTATTAGGGAGGTACATGCTCCTTGGATTCCGGATGCCAGTGCCACCTTTGGTACCCGTTTCCTCAACACCATGGTCTTAGACTTAATGACACCTTTTGTGAGAGGAGACAGTGACAGCACGAGTGTATTCCTCTTTATTTCAGGCAGTGACACCAGCATGTCTTCCATCAATTTGGAGTAGTCCCACTTATGTTTGTCATAGCAGTCGATGCAGTACACTGGCCTCTTTTTCAGCTGTCCTGCTGTAAAGTTGTCATTGCAATCCTTCTTGATTCGCTCGAGAACCCTACTTTCTGAAAAGTCACGTTCGCTGTCCTTTGCACTTTCCATGGCATCTTCAATCTTTGTCCTGATGAAGAAGTATTCTTTCTTCAAAGACTCTATTTCCCGCGCTAACCAGATGTCCTTAGATGTGAACCTGTCATCTGACAGCAGGAGGAAGAAGTCGTATTTAGAGTATCCAACCCGTCCCAGGTACGACTTGTCCTGGGGGAAGCGTGGCGTTCCTACACCAGGAAGGTCCCACAATACTAGCTGTTCATTGTAGGGGTGGCAGTACTTAGTTGGTTCCCGTGTCACGTCTCCTGTCCCCACAGCCGCACTGCCTTCATCATCTGCAGTCAGTCCACGGATGCTGTTGATGAAGGATGACTTCCCCACGGCCGCCTCGCCTACAAGAGCTATTGATAATGGGACATTTCGCCAGTCCCTCATTTTATTTTGTACTATGCCTGGTAGGCCGCTCAACCCATGTTCGTCAACGTGGCGGCGGATTTCGTCAATCTCAGCTTCAGTTATGACTTCGAAAGCAATGTCATCCATCTGCAAAATAGTCATAATGCCTTTCGTCACTGACACAAACATGAATTTTTCAAATCTGCACGATAAGATCAATTGTAATATTCTAGCAGATAGTTTGATGTGTTCCTATAATTCATCAGTGAAAAACACAGAAATGCTGTCATCGCGTGTCCAAATCTAAGTAAGTGAGTGAGTGAGTGAGTAAGTATGGTTTTACGCCGCTTTTAGCAATATTCCAGCAATATCACGGCGGGGAACACCAGAAATGGGCATCACACATTGTACCCATGTCGGGAATCTAACCCGGGTTCTGTTTTGACCACTAGGCTACCCGACCGCCCCCCAAATCTAAGTATGTATAAAAATAATTGTCCCTACTGTTACATGGTGACAAATCAAAACTAAAAACTATATTCATTTCACTAAAAAAAAAACATGATCAAGCAGGGTATAAACTGAAAAGGGAGTTTGAAACACAGCCATTTAGGAGCATTAACTAATTGGGGTATAAAACAAAACTGATTTTTCTTAACTCTTATGTCTCCACTGTTACAAAACAGTGATGCTTATAATGAATACTAATGTAGTAGGGAGCACGGGTGGCCCAGTCGTCTAAGGCCCCGCGATTCGCTGTGCAGAGTTGCGTCCCTTGGGCACGCCGGAAACCTTTGATTGTGGGTTCGAATACCGGTTCGCCCCGATTATGTTTCTAAGTTTGTCAGCACCATACCCGTGCCCGTGCATCACTTCGGGCTTTTCTACCACATTAAGCTGACATGCCGTGATATAACGTTAATAATGTTAAAAGCGGCGTTAAACCCGACACAGCCACTCACTAATGTAGTGAAGAATTGATAGATAGAGTATAAATACTTTGTCTGATAGTTGCACGGTGCTGAAATGTCTCACATCTTTTGCAGCTCTTTATTTTATGGCAGTGTGACAGTAGGGACAGACGTAAATGATGGAATTATATTACTTTCAAAATGTGACAGTTGTGCATCATGAAACAAAACCTTTTAAAGACTAACACTAACAACTCAAAGGAATAGTCGTATACAGTAAACTACGGTTATAACGAACACGCTTATAACGAACTGACGGATATAACGAACTTACTTTTTTGGTCCCGACTATTTGCTGTAGTTATGTTGTATATATGCCTATAACGAACTACGGTTATAACGAACTAAAATTAGTAGTCCCTTTGAGTTCGTTATAACCGTAGTTTACTGTATATCATAACATTGATTCCCATTATTTGACATCAATATTCACGATAACGTCTTGAAACTTGAATGGAACAGAAGGGACATCAAAGTGTAGACCCGTGAAGATCCGGGGTAGAATAGGTCTTCAGCAAATCGGGTGGTCAGGCTCGCTGACTTGGTTGATGCACGTCATCGATCCCAATTACGTGGATCGATGCTCATGATGTCAATCACTGGATTGTCTGGTCCAGACTCGATTATTTACAACCCCCACCCCTTCATATGGGTGGAGTAGTGCTGAATGCGGCGTTAAACAACAAACAAACAAACACCAAACAAACAGTGGTGACTATACATGCCATGTCAGACACCTGTTAATTAACAAATACTTGTGACATTGACCTGCTCTATAAGACACCTGGTACACCTGGATATCCTCCTCAGTGTGGACATTTCCTTTATGTCACGTGTATGTCACGTGTATGTCACGTGTATGTAGCCTTCTGCATTACCCAGATTGTCAAAAGGGTGGCATTCCTGGTAGCAAATCCGGGTACTCTCCCAATGTCAGTCAACAGATTGGGTGGTACCAAACCTAAGGCACCGAGGACAATGGGGAATCTGACAACTTGGTACTTGCGATGCAAGCGTGACATATCGAAAGCGAAAGTTATAGAGCTGGAATATTGCTGAGTGCGGCGTAAAACAACAAACCAAAACCAAAACCAAAATGTAACAGTTTGGATAAAATTATTCTAAGATATCAATTGATGGTTCATTCGTTGCAGTAAAGTTTCAAATGGTTCTTGTGAAGATACATTGCCTCATAGTAAACAGAATGTGTACAGTTTGACTCAGATAAATACCAGTGTGGGAACTGAACTTGAGATTATTGATGATACAGTAAACTACGGTTATAACGAACACGCTTACAACGAACTGACGGATATAACGAACTTACTTTTTTGGTCCCGACTATTTGCTGTAGTTATGTTGTATATATGCCTATTACGAACTACGGTTATAACGAACTAAAATTAGTAGTCCCTTTGAGTTCGTTATAACCGTAGTTTACTGTACGTGTAAAAGTAGGGACATCAAAATGTAACATTTTGGACAAAATTATTCAAAAGGTTAAATTATTGCTTCTTTCAATGTAGAAAAGTTTCAAATGTTTGCTGTAAAGTTAAATTGCTTCATTAAAATCAATGAATATATAAACAGATATTTACCAATGTAGGAAATTAACTATAGACAATTATGTGTAACAGCATATCAGATTAAAAAGAAAAATATATTCAGAAATGATCTTAAACAAGCGAAATACGCAACAAACGCGGCATCACAAAACTTCACGTTGGTTCACGACGACACATTCGTCTCTGCCGTGTAGAGTTGTGTCCCTTGGGCACGCCAGAAACCTATGATTGTGGGTTCGAGTCCCGGTTCGCCCCGATTATGTTTCTAGGTTTGTCAGCACCATACCCGTGCTCGTGGGTTTCACCGAAGTTGTAAACGACCTGCTTCACTTCGGCCTTTACTCCCACATTAAGCTGACACGTCGTGATATAACTGGAATAATGTTAAAAGCGGCGTTAAGCTCATCTCACTCACTCACTATACGAACAGGTAGATGGTTACCAAGTAACTAAGAGTAACTCGGTTCAATGTGTTATGATTTGTGTTACAAAACAATTCAGGACAACAGTCGATTCAATCAGCACGAAAAGGTTTGTTTTTTAGTTGTTTAACGCCGTATTCAGCAATAACTATATGACAGCGGCCTGTAAAAAATCGAGTCTGTGACAGACAATTCTAGTGGTGACGTCGCGAGCATCGACCTACGCAATTGGGATACGATGACATGCACTCAGCAATATTCCATCCCTATGAAGGGGGGGTGTGTAAATAATCGAGTCGGAAACAGACAATCCAAGGATTGACATCATGAGCATAGGTCGATGAAATTGGCATACGATGACATGCATCAACCTAGTCAGCGAGCGTGACCACCCGATCCCGTTAGACGCCTCTTATGACAAGCATAGTCCCTATTACGACAAGCATGGGGTGCTGAAGACCTCGTCTAGCCCATGCTTGTCATGATCATAAGCGTGGGACAAGTCAGGGCATGAGGAGGTAGCTGACGTAACGGAGGTCGTCTTCAAGGCCCTGCAGCCCTATATACGGTGGCTTTATGCATCCTTCCCTTGTGTTGTACTCATATCTTCCTGGATGTCTGTTGGTGTAAAGACATTTTACGTGATCATTACCCATTCTTCGGAATTGTCACTTGTCCAAAGGTCCAAACTCCTGCTTCTGTTCACAACAAAAGGGGGCGGTCGGGTAGCCTAGTGGTTAAAGCGTTCGCTCGTCACGCCGAAGACCCGGGTTCGATTCCCGACATGGGTACAATGTGTGAAGTCCATTTCCGGTGTCCCCCACCGTGATATTGCTGGAATATTGCTAAAAGCGGTGTAAAACCATACTCACTCACTCACTCACAACAAAAGATTTCACAACTTGGCAAATCCTTCTGTGTGAGATTCAAAGCCCGTCAATCGCCCCTCGTTGCTGAGGGCACATGTGGACAGAAATTAATATCAGCAAACGGGAAACCAAATTAAAACAAAACAGAAAGAAACCATTGGGATAAGTCTTTAAACAAAAGGTTGTCATTCGAAAATACATTCACTAAACTCATGTGCAGAAAACCTGAACAAAGATCAAAGGATGTACTGGTATGACGTTGAGTGAGTGAGTATGGTTTTACGCCGCTTTTAGCAATATTCCAGCAACATCACGGCGGGGGACACCAGAAATGGGCTTCACATATTGTACCCATGTCGGGAATCGAACCCGGGTCTTCAGCGTGACGAGCGAACGCTTTAACCACTAAGCTACCCGACCGCCCTGTAGGACGTTGAATGATTGAATGTAGGTCAGTGTTCCAACGTACCCTGTTCCATTTACTAATTTATTTATTGAGGGTGTGTGTGTGGTGTGTGTGTGTGTGGGGGGGCTCTTAATGAGTCCCTATTGAGCTTCTTTTAATTATATTTTGCCAAGATAATCAAGCTGGATCTTTTTCTGTAAATGTCTTCTTTTCAGAGACTAGAAGTGTGTCTATGCACCAACGGGGATATCACAGTTCACTTCTTGACCTGGAGGTCGTGTGTATTTTTAAACATGAATCTCAGTACATCAGTTTCTTAAAAGCGGGAGGGCACGGGTGGCCCAGTCGTCTAAGGCGCCACGATTCGCTGTGCAGAGTTGCGTCACAAACCTATGATTGTGGGTTCGAATCGAAAGCGGCGTTAAACCCAACTCACTCACTCACTCACTCACTACAACCAGTAGGAAGCAGTGTACGGAACGCCAATTACAGCAGCACACAGAACTTTTCAAGAAAAGGTTTTGTTGCTCGACCAGTTGCGTGAAGCTTTCGTTTGACGATGTCTCTGTGAGACTTTAGGGAGAAGTTGGCGCCATCCGCCACAAGACTCCTGAGGGTTGGTAGGTCGTGGCCCTCGGGCTCCCTACAGCTGACCAGGAAGACTGGCACATCAGGGAAACAGTCCTCGATCTTCTTCAGGATAGCTTCTTTTTCATTATCTTCATTGAATGTTCTTGGGTGTGCCTTTTTCTGATTTTTTAGGTCACGGTCGATCTTCGTCCTGACATAGAAATAGCGTTTCCCCTGTTTCGCAATAGCACTGTGAAGAAGAAGTTCCGTCTCCTCAATTTTGGTACACGACACATGCACATAGAAATCGTAACTTTTAAAGTTAATCTTCTTCAGGTATTCTGGTCCATATGGGACGTTTTGGGTGTCATATCCGGGTACATCCCACAGCACAACATCCGATCCGGGTAGGTGATAGGGGTGGGTTCCAGACGTACACTCCACCACGTCAGTCCTGGCTGCGTATTCCTCCTTGTGTGGTAAACTAAAATAGGCATTAATGAAACTGGACTTGCCGTTGCCGGACTTGCCTATGACACCCACGTTATAAAGACGCTGACTGGCAGCCTTGCTGCTGTCCTTGCCGCTGTCCTTGGCGCTGTCCTTTCCTCGTATAGACATTGTCACTGAAACATCACAATGTCACACTTGCAGAACATGCAACACCGGCTCAGGCTAGCATTATACACAGTACTACACAGTATCACGAGTACTACACAGTACCACAAGTACCAAACAGTACTACACAGTATCACTAGTACCTCACAGTACCGCAAGTACCAAACAGTACTACACGGTATCACAAGTGCACCACAGTACTATACAGTACTACACAATACTGCACAGCACTACACAGTACCACAAGTACGAAACAGTACTACACGTGCAACACAGTACTTTACAGTACTACCCAGTACTACAGTGCTACACAATACTTCACAGCACTACACAGTACCACAAATACGACACAGTACTACACGTGCAACACAGTACTATATAGTACTACCCAGTACTACAGTGCTACACAATACTGCACAGTACTACACAGTACTTGATGGGTGCCCGGTGATACATATTTTATATTATATTATGATTACATCTAAGCAACCGCTTCAAATGGAGTGAATGCTGCCCTTAACCTCAACCTTAAAAACTAGTCAATACCCTTATCAGAATATCTTACAATAGTAACAATGAGGTAATGCACAGGCATATCCGTTCATGGTGGTGTATTGTATCATTGTGTGAACATTTTGTGTTTGATAACATTTCTACGATAATATACACATGAGTGAGTGAGTTTGATTTAACGCCGCTTTTAACAGTATTCCAGTTATATCGCGGCGTGTCAGATTAATGTGGGAGGAAAACCCGAAGTGATGCAGGTCTCAGACGTTTACCACTTCGGTGAAACCCACGGGTACGGTGCTGACAAACCTAGAAATCGGAGCGAACCGGGATTCGAACCCACAATCATAGGTTTCTGGTGTGCCCAAGTGACGCAACTCTGCACAGCGAATCGCGACGCCTTAGACGACTGGGCCATCCGTGCCCCCATATACACAGGACACATGAATGATATACTACACCAATCTTGTTAAGAAATCTAAAACTTTCAGGCTGAATTTATTATCACGGATGTGTGATCTAAACTTGCCATACTAATTATGTAATTATGTAATTATGTCACTGTATGTATCGGCGTCTCTCGAGATATAGATACTACAATCGTGGTTAACAAATTGAAGACTGTGAGTGTGATTTTATATATTCCAGCAATATCACGGCGGGGAACACTAAAAATGGGCTTCACACATTGTACCCATGTTGAGAATCGAACCCGGGTCTTCGGCGTGACGAGCGAACGCTTTAGCCACTAGGCTACCTGGCTGCCGCCTTCTGATCTCCGGGCAGACACTCTATCCACTAGACCACGGAGGCGGTCCGCATTAATTTTGTAGAGCGAGTATGTTTTTACGCCGCTTTTAGCAATATTCCAGCAATATCACGGTGGGAGACACCAGAAATGGGCTTCACACATTGTACCCATGTCGGGAATCGAACCCGGGTCTTCGGCGTGACGAGCGAACGCTTTAACCACTAGGCTACCCACACGCCTTGAAGACTGACTTTCATGTTGGAGTGCTTATATTTTGGGAATCAGGCATTACGTATGAATCTATTATGAATATATGTATTATAGATACTACGTAAGGGTTGTATACTGGAGCACAAAATGCTGAAAGTTCAGAGAAGATGTTAATACAATATGTATACACGTGACATACACATGACATACACGTGACATAAAGGTAATGTCAACACTGTTGAGGATATCCAGGTGTACCAGGTGTCTTATATAGCAAGTCAATGTCACAAGTATTTGCTTAATTAACAGGTGTCTGACATGGCATGTATAGTCACTGTGAATCACTGTTTGTTTGTTTATTTGTTGTCAACAATACTCAACCCATATGAAGGGGGATGTAAATAATCGAGTCTGAACCAGACAATCCAGTGATTGTAGTCATGAGCATAGATCGATAGATTGGCATACGATGACATGCATCAACCAAGTCAACGAGCCTGACCACCCGATCCCGTTAGTCGCCGCTTACAACAAGCAAAGTCGCCTTTTACGGCAAGCATGGGTTACTGAAGACCTATTCTAATCCGGATCTTCACGGGTCACAGTTTCATGTAAATGTACCTGATACAGCCTGCACATGTCACGATGTAATACTGTCATGTACGTGGACAACGCGTGTGACACGTAGTGTAAGTATGTAATACGCTCGACCAGGCCAACGTAAATGCCGGCAGTAAACGACTGTAGTGAGTGAGTTGGGTTTAACGCCGCTTTTAACAGTATTCCAGTTATATCACGGCGTGTCAGCTTAATGTGGGAGGAAAGCCCGAAGAGATGCAGGTCTCGGACGTTTACCACTTCGGTGAAACCCACGAGCACGGGTATGGTGCTGACAAACCTAGAAACATAATCGGGGCGAACCGGGATTCGAACCCACAATCAAAGGTTTCTGGCGTGCCCAAGGGACGCAATTCTGCACAGCGAATCGCGGCGCCTTAGACGACTGGGGTCATTCGTCACCACTCGCCCCTTTCCGTAACCTGCAAGAAGACGGCTTGTCCCGGAATAACACGAGTTGGTCACGAATGGACTGGGCCACCCACGCCCCCAGTAAGCGCCTGTAAAGGATTTCCCTACACGACTAACGGCTACAACGGCGTATGTTGCGCAGTAGCTAAGCCTGTCATAAAACTGTTGTGTAAACAGTTCGTCATACCATGTGTAAACAACGATTAACTACATAAAGACATTCCGAATTGTCCGCAAGCGCAAGGCCTTTAACAAAGGTCATGACCTCCTAACCCAAAACGCAGGACAATCACCATGACATTATCGAACTAAGCGTTACCTTCGGGGTACCTTCGGGATGTTAAATCTTAGGTATCCCTCTCACAGAACCGGAGACGATCAGTGTTTGTCCTTATTCAGCTGATTTTAGTATTATCCATTGTCCGATGATATGGAGGAAACGAGATGTCTGCGCCAGGCGCTAAGCGACCGACAAGAGCCGCGCGTTCTGATTAGTTAAGGAAAGTCTTACCTGTGTGACGTCAGGCTAAAAATAGCTCGCCAGCGCCAGGCGAGAATGTTGAAATAGCAATAGCGGGAAAGCCTCTCGAAATCTCCCCTCTCACAAACAGTCGCTAAACCAGGTCACGCATTCAATATCGTTTGTATTAACCGGTAGTGACAGCCTTTTTAAGCCTGGGCGAGTTCACGTCAGTGTTGGGGGCAACAGAATTCTTAATGAATGTAGGGCGACAGAGGATTTGAGGGACGACATGTGGTGCTCTATCCCAGCGTGGAGCTCTATTCGAGGAAGCCGACCTTTGTCTAGTCCTGCACCATGACTGTGGAATATATTTATTTTATGGAAAAAACACACCCTAGAAACGTATACAAAAGCATGCCTAGCCGCTCAAGCTAGCTCTATATGAAATCAGCATCGGGATTTTTAAAATTTTATTTTTAGAGTCAAGAAGGGTATTGTGTAATATAAGATTTCATAGACTAAATGTTAGTCTAACCTTTGTCCTGCCTGTTGTCTTGATGGCCTTCAATACAGCCGGTAGACTAACATCTAGCCTCTGAAATGAACATGCCGTACAGAAAAAAACAGTTGTTCAATTTTTTTTAAAAATCGGGGAAGATATCCTTCCATCTGAACATGTTCTGCACGTGTCTTCTGCCAATGCTAAAAGCATTTTCTTCATTTTCTGAAATTTTGAACTTTCTGTGTTTGTTTAAAAAGGAGCCCAGAGACTCTCTTCATTTTCATGATACTGCAGTAATCTGGACTTGTCAAACATTATAGACTTGCATGGGCTGTATTTGATAAATTTGTATCAGGGTTCGTAAGATAGACTATACAGCTGGGTGTGGTCGACTGAGCCTTTGGGTCGAACTGTCATCCATACATTTCAGAAGTTAGGCCTGGCGCATGATAACAACGAAACAAGAACATTTTAACGCGTGTGTATTACTGTAACTCTCCTTCAGAGGAATATTTTGTCTGTTTGTTTCTTTATTTGTTGTTTAACGCCGCACTCAGCAATATTCCAGCTATATATCTTTCGCTTTAGAAATGTCACGCTTGCATCCCAAGTACCAAGTTGTCAGACTCCCCATTGTCCTCGGTGCTTTAGGTTTTGGTACCTCCCAATCTGCTGACTGACATTGGGAGAGTACCCGGATTTGCTACCAGGAATACAGCCCTTCTGACAATCTGGGTAATGCAGAAGGCTGCAGTGTTTGGGAGTCTTCACATTCTCCGAACAGTTCTGGGTGGGTTTGACTAGGCAGCGCTTCCTGGGAGAAGTCCCATTCGCTGTCTGGGCTGCGTGTAGAGGGGTCAAGGGCCCTGAGCTGATGATAAGCCTAACCAGCCTGAGTGTGCCAGGATCATCCAAACCCTCTTTGCTGCATTTTATTATTTTAATCTGTAAATAATAATAATAATAATGCTAATAATGAAGATGTAACGTGCGAAAACTGTTCCCAGAAGAGTGAAAAAGGGTTAAGTCAAAACTGATTTATTGGTGCTTTATGGCGTTTGGTGAACACGATTAAAAACCTACAGGTTTAATTTTCAGGATTACCGATACCCGACTCAAGGATATTATATGGGTGCTTTTAATAAAATATGACTGCTCCCGTATATTTAACAATGGCTGCTGGCTTACAGCGAGAACCCCCCCCCCCCCCCCCCCTCACACACATCGTACCCACACCCCGCACCAATACAGTTGGCTAATCTTTACAATTCATTTAACAATTTCTTTGTATTTACAACACGCTTCAGCTCGCCGATGTTCACTTGACATGGGCAAAGGGAAGTAACTCGTGCTAGCTCTGTACAACAAACTAGGATAGGATAGGATAAGTTTTATTCCATACTGAAAGGCGTCGGGCCCATAGTACAATTCTGTTTTCGGGAGTGGTTACAGATCCGTTTAACAGGTCATATTCTAATTAACATAGCATGATAAATGAACATTGATAGATTTTTTAGAGTATCTTTATCAGTTGTTGACATGATCGTTATAAATCAATATATCAGATCAATATATTTTCTTCTAAGGTGGTCGTATTTTGGACAAACTAACAGCAAATGAAACTCATCTTCAATGTTCCGGATTCCATGTTTTTCATACAATAACATCATATTGTAACATTTTCTAGGTAATCTATCAATAGGCATTTTAAGAATCTTGAACCAATACTTGAAAGTCTAATATGTTGAAATATGTAAAGTGTACACGTTCGCATTCACCATATACCATAACACTCGATGTAGAGTTTTTTAGGCCAAGGAATCGTTTACAAGCATATAGATGGACCAGTTAAATAGTTCTGTATTCAGTATGCCCCCAGAGTAATTTTTGTATCAAATATTTAAAAAAAGGTTTGATATGAAAGATCAGTGAAGGTTTTTAAACTATGTAAGATTCCCATTAGTATCATTTTTGCCTGCATTGCTGCATTACTGGTGTGGTAATTCCACGTTAATCTGCCTGTGAAGATTACCCCAAAATATTTATAAGAAGTGACAATTTGTAACGGTTGTGAGCTGAAGAACCATTTTTCCCTACTTGATAGTTTATTTCCCTTTTTGAAAACTAACACTTTCGTTTTCTCAGTGTTCAGTTGGAGTTAACAATTAGAACAGTACAGCTCCAGTTGATCTATCAAATTCTGAAAACCTTTTATCGTACAAGAGAACACAACAAACTATTCAAAGTGATTATCGTCAATCGCACCCGAACGTGAAAATAACACAAAGGATGTTTAAAAGAAATACGTTATGAACAAAACAGCTTCATTTCAATGAATGGAAACATTTCTATGAATCATGCTTTAATCAAAGTCAAATATACCTGGACACCACAAGGCCCTTCAAATTCATGTAAATATCCAGCCTGGATAGTTAAACATGTTTCTCTGTACTTTAACAACATCTGTGAATCAGTCACCGAGTTGGACATTCGTGACCAACTCGTGTTATTCCGGGACAAGCCGAATAGCGACTCGTGCCCCTCTCGTGGCCATTTTGTGCGACCGGGTTCCGTCTTAGCGCAAACGGGCATACCTAAAACAATTGTCAACTCGTTGCGTAATGGTTCACATATATTTCCCCATATATTATATAGATTTCAGATGGAATTTAAAGCACATCGGGACGTGCGGAATTATACAGTGTGATTGAACACACTTAACTGTGTCTTGGGTATATTTTTAGACGCAGGACATATGTAAAATCAAAAATTATTTCTGAGGGATTCTTTGATGAAGAACTTGAAATCATACGCGCATTCTGATTGGTTTGTCGTATTTTCGCACATAACATTCATCGATAGGGGGACGAGTCTTCTTGCAGGTTACGGAAAGGGGCGAGTGGTGACGAATGCGAATTGGACTGGTTGTCCCGTTAGTCGCCTTTTACGACAAGCATAGTCGCATTTTACGGCAAGCATGGTTTGCTGAAGACCTATTCTACAAGTCTTAACAATAAAACACATTACTACTAATACGATTTACACATTCTTAAAGAATAATGAAAATCATTCTAAGTTTCTTTCTTTCTGAAAATTCCCGTATTTATTTATTTTAGAATAATGGTGTTGTCATAATTATTGACAATAATATCAAGTCTCTGTGTGATATGTCAAATAACATATGAGTATGATAAAATTCTCATAGGAAGCTTGATGTGGCAAAATGAATCAGTTTAACACAATCTAACGTAACTGTAAACCCCACTGTGTCACCATAGAAATTTCTGTCCTCAATTCAACAACTTAGGTACCAGTTATCTGATCCCAGAAATATATATTTTTTTGTAATACTTTTTTTATTCAGGGGACCCAGAAATATTGCCTCAGATCAGCAAATTAATACATTATGTTTGTGTAGTGAATTCTATCAATCACACGCAAGTTACCTCCCTTGGACTATCCCACAACAGCAGTGAACACACCATGCCATTCAGAAAGTGGTCAAATGTAACAAATGTTATATTTGGGGAAAAACTTTGTTAGTAAAGTACAGATTCTCGTACCTTTTTGGGATGAGTCCCATCTGGGATTCGAACCCACACTGCCAGATTGAGGCACCTAATCGCCATCACACGAAGTCAGGATCTAATCTACTCAGGCACCGAGGCTTCTGCATATTACCGGGCAGCTTCTCATTGCCAAGCCAAGAAATTGCGAGAATTCCTCACCTGTGTGATCTCCCAGGAATTGTAAAAATAACCGTGTACACTGAGGTGCTATCACACATTCTTCAGGAATTCCTCACCTGTGTGATCTCCCAGGAATTGTAAAAATAACCGTGTACACTGAGGTGCTATCACACATTCTTCAGGAATTCCTCACCTGTGTGATCTCCCAGGAATTGTAAAAATAACCGTGTACACTGAGGTGCTATCACACATTCTTCAGGAATTCCTCACCTGTGTGATCTCCCAAGAATTGTAAAAATAACCGTTTACACTGAGGTGCCATCACACATTCTTCAGGAAATGTGTCACTGCATACATCCAAACTAGACCAAATGTTTGACAGTTTTTTACGCCGCTTTTAGCAATATTCCAGCAATATTACGGCGGGGGACACCAGGAATGGGCTCAACACATTGTACCCATGTCGGGAATCGAACCCGGGTCTTCGGCGTGACGAGCCAACGCTTAAACCACCAGGCTAACCGACCACCCCAACAAAAAAGATATATGATGGTAAAGAAAATAGGCGGAAAACAGTAGGAAAACAAAGGAAAAGACTTTGGGAATTAAGAAAAGTAAGACATGAGCAAAAGTGGATGCCCAAACGACCATTGAAAGAGCTATTATAAAATTGAAACAAAAAGGTAAACAGCTGATATATGAAATCATGGAAGTGACAGAAGTGGAATGCAAACAATTTCAGTCTGGTTCGCAGCATCTAGGGGCTGTAATGCAGATGTACCGACACCATGGTGAGGTGAGGTGAAATTGGGTTTAACGTCGCGTCCAAGATTATTGCACTTATA